TTTGTTAATTTTAGAATTGAATATTAATTTTCTTAACTGGCGAAAAATCTGTTGGAGAATCGCTGTATGATACAGTCTTCCGATTTCGATGATCGACTGAGAATGTTTATTTGTAAATACGTGCGTGACTTACAGATTTTACGTTCATCCATTAAGCAAATTTGCCACTCTGCTCGAGGTGTCTCCAAGCATCTGATCTGAATACATCAACCATTTTTTTTTTACGTGTCGGTGAATTCTCAGTTTGCTTTGTATGTACGGGCATAAAAAAGAAGTCTTACTGAGGCAAGTCAGAGCTATACAATGGACGACTCATCAAATCGATGATTCCAGAGCTCAAAAATTGGAATGTTCCATTGGATGGGTGAGAGTTCGCAATGTCGTAGTGAAGAGTGATCTGTCTTCGCCAGTGGGTTTTCCGACACGAGCCTTTTTTCGAGGGGGTAACAAATTGTGTGGGATCAAATGTGAACAAACTTTTTTACAGTCAAATATTCATGCAAATTTGAATGTTTGCTGGTCACAACAGCTGACGCACGTTTTGTGTTTTGTTTCCCTGTCAAACATCTTCAGTTTGGTCGATAATTTTACCAAGAATCGTCTTACAAACGAACAACGCTTGCAAATTATTGAATTATATTATCAAAAGGCGCTCGCTTCGAGGCTCATTCTTGGCTTAATGGGTGGGTAAATAAGCGGAATTGTCGATTTGGGGGTGAAGATCAGCCAGAAACATTGCAAGAGCTACCAATGCATCCAGAAAAAGTCACAGTTTGGTGCGGTTTATGGGCTGGTGGCATCATTGGATTGGAGTTTTTTTGCCCAAAATGCAAGAGCTTGACTTGAAGACATTTGGTTTCAACAAGACGGTGCCACATGCCACGCAGCACGCATAACAATGGACTTACGGTGAGGCGAGGTCGATGAACATTTCATTTCCCGTTCGGGACCGGTCAATTGGTCGCCTAGATCGTGCGATTTAATGACTTTAGACTAGGCTGTATTAAATCTCTGTTTTTGCCGACAACCCCGCTTCAATTGACGCATTGGAGGACAACATTGAAGCATTTATTCGAGAGATGCCAGCCGAAATGTTGCAAAGAGTATGACAAAATTAAACTCTGCGGATGAACCATTTGAGGCGCAGTCACGGTCCACATTTGCATGAAATAATTCCCAAAAATTAAATTATATAGATGGTTCTATCGATTCAAATAAAGATTTCATGTATTTTTCTGAAGTTTATGTGTTTTTTTTTTTTTGAAAAACTTTCCTATTGTTCCTAAAAGATCCCCCTTTATATTGCGCAGTAGTTCATCATTAGATCGGCGGACTTAAACCTTTAAAATGATTCTAAAAGTATTTTCCATATGATTGATGCTTGCTAATTTTTCGGTATTAGGCATGCTTATCGTGAGTTTTATTTGCGCTAATTCCTAGCTCTGCTCGCGTTCCCCTTGGCACTACTGGTTAAGACTGGGAAGCCTGCTAGCAATAAAATAAACTTCAACAACATTTCAGCCATTTTCAGAAGTTGATCACTAAGGCTCGATATCATGTTTGCTCTTTACTTTGACTATAAATTCAATTGAAAAGCCTTGCCTGTTTCACCAGAAGCATCCGAAAAAAGATTGTCCAAGTCCTGCTTCAATACTACAATAGAAAGTATTTTGCAATCGACACAAATATCTCTGTTCATTTATTAAATAAAATTCACTATTTGACATCACTTCTGCAAAGGGATTGATATCGAAACTGTTCAAACAAAAATGAGAAATAGAAATATTTCGAATAGATCAGTACCAGTACTAGTACCGCTCTACAGGGCATATCGAGTCCTCGAATCCAAATCACGCAATCTTTGTGGTCAATAGACATCGCCGAGACGAAATATTACACGGCCGGAAAATTTCTCTCGCCATAAATCTCTATTCGCGGGTGCCATCTGGCAGGTCGCGCTACATCCTCGAAACAACATATCGTCCAAAGTCGTGTTCTTCAATTGTAAGTAAAAAATAAAGTAAAAAAAATAACGCTCCGAATTGACAGCGCCAATCTCTTCACCTACAGACCGAAGAGCACAGCGTACGGTAAGTTTTTTGTTTTTTTGCTGTAATGGGCTCTCTTGATTATTCTCAAAGCACCAAATGCCCCAATGACAAAAGAGCCTTGTCCCACAAAAAATTGCCGTCCTTTTCCTATTGTTCAAGCACCCAATTGTCGTGTGCATGGCATTGTGAACGGTCAGCTTGCTTAAGTTGTTGCGAGCCGGACTTTATATCGATATAAGTACAAATTCGTGTGCCTTAAAAATGTCCCAGCACTTGAAAACGTCGAGAAAAAGGCACATTCAGGTCTTCGGCTACACTTTCTCTTACAGTAATTATATTTAAGGAGAAACAAGCGATAAGGCCTAAAAAAGGCCATATAATATCTTTAGTCTCTTCAAATTTATTATTAATATTACAAATTGCTTGAGTAGTCGGACGATTATGTGCACCATAATCTCCTCATAAAGCGCGAAACGTGGTCACGTTGGAATCCTCTAATTTGTAATAAGTTTTCAAAATTTTAAAGCATTGTGCTGTTTGTTGAGCGAATCATATTCGAAAAGGTCTGACTTTTAATTACAACAAAACATGTTTGGTTTGACAGTTAAGTTTGAAAGCTGTCAAAATGCAGCCCTGTGCTTTTGAAACCACGAAAAGGGTTACCTTACATATAAGCCATTCTAATAAAATTACGTCCGTCCAAAAACGCCACAATCTTGCAACGTATAATAGTTGCTGGAAACTTATAAATCTACCCACACTTTCCAGCTGTGAAAAATGCTAAGGGTATTTTTTTAAATAACAATCCCAAATGGACCCAGCTACAAATCGATAAAGTTAATTTTAAGGTCCCCATCCGATTATATTGACAATATTTCAAAATCAAGGAAAACAAATTTTCGTTTATATATCAGGTGTACAACTTAGCTTCCGCTGTTTTCCGATAGGTGGCTGAAGCTGGTTGCAATACATAGATGATAATGCTTTTAAAGTGATGCTGCTCTGAGTGAAAGAACGTGTCGGGAGTGGTTTCACCGTTTTAAAAATGGTGATTTCGATGTGGAAGACAAACATGGTGGTGGAAGAGAAAAAACCTTCAAAGATGAACAACTAGAAGCATTGCTTGATTAAGATTCGTGCCAAACCCAAGAACACCTTACCAAATCGTTGGGAGGGAAACAGCAAGCCATTTCAATACGTCTCAAGGTCAGAAAAAAGGAAACTGGGTGTCGTACGAGTTGAAACCGAGGGACATCGAGCGCCGTCTATGTTTATGTGAGCAACTGCGTCAAAGACAAAATCGTAAGGGGTTTTTACATCGAATCATAACCGGCGTTGAAAGGTGGGTTCGATACGATAATCCTTCGTCAAAGCAAATCCAAATATTGACGGTGCCAAGGTTATGATTTGTATTTGATGGGATCAGCTAGGTGCGATTTACTACGAGCTCTTAAAACCGGGTGAAACCATCACAGGAGATCGCTACCGAACGCAACTGATGCGCCTTAGTCGCGCGCTAAAAGAAAAGCGGCCACAATATCAAGAGCGACATGACAAAGTCATCCTCCAACACGACAATGCTCGGCCTCACGTCGCAAAAGTGGTCAAAAAGTACCTGGAAACGCTGAAATGGGAAGTCTTGCCCCACCCGCCGTATTCCCCAGATGTCGCCCCTTCTGACTTCCACCTATTCCGTTCGATGGCACACGGCCTGGCAGATCAACATTTTCAATCCTTCGAAGAATTGGAAAAATGGATTGCTTCATGGATAGCGTCAAAAGAGGACTCCTTTTTTCGAGCCGGGATCCGAAAATTGCCGGAAAGATGGGAGAAAGTTGTCGCTAGCGAAGGACAATACTTTGAATAATATATCTGTAAGCACTTTTTCGCAATAAAGCTTTTAATTTTGGAAAAAAAAACGGCGGAAACAAAGTTGTACACCTGATAATATCAAGAACCTCAAGGTTCGCCAAATGCATCATTCGGATGTAAGCTTATTCACACCCAATTTGAACGTATAAGAATCGCTTGCCTATCGTAGTCTCAGCCTCATTACGTGGCGGTGCCAACTTACCTAGGAACGATCTATACTTATATACAAATCATCGGTGATTTCTTTGCCGTAAAGAAAGTATTATTCATTTTTCGAACTAATTAAATTTGGTCACAGTTCCCTGTTCAATTTCCAGGAATCAGAAGTATTCCATTTAGGCAGATCGTACTATTTTTTAAATAGATCCGTAAAAAAAAAGAGTTTCAAATAAAAAATATTTATTTTTTAAGCGTGCGCTTAACTTGGCCCTAACCAAAAATCCCATACTTTTATGAGCACCCTAATGGGTATTTGGCATATGAAAGCCTTGTAAACGAAACGAACGATTGAGATTTCATATCAACACAACGACAAAAGCGCACGGGGATTTATTATTCAAATTTAAAATTTAATTTAAATAGAAATAATCTCTCTTAAAATTGGTTAAAAAGAAAATAAATATATAATAATAAATTATCATATTATAAATTTTATAATCAAGTTAAAACGAAGTATCTTGGTAAACAGATATATTGAAAATTGAATAATATAAATTTATTTAAATAAAACGTCTATTTATACACAGTAAAACGAGCACTCGAGGGGCTAGCGATTGAAAATTTTTCGATTAGGTCAGTCGCTGATCGACTTCCTGGAAAGAAGAGCAGTCCTTCGGTTGATCTAAGTAAAAATTCAGCTATGAAACGAATTACACATAAAACGAACCATAAATGAGAATATTTCGAAACGGTCAGTCCCTGGCTCATGACACGAACAATTTTGTTTGTCCAAAGGTTTCCAGGTACTACTCAGAGACAGATCTAAAGTGACTCTTCGAGATATGCGGATCTTTACAAACAAACTCTGCTTGTTCTCATTGATGACTTATCAAGCTTGATTTATTTTGGTCTAATTACCTTAAGCTCATATCGGTCTCATATTAATTCCATTTTTTGTAAATAGTAGATTCACATTCTGCTCATTCACTTTTGACTGTTATTTAACAATTTAACTTTTGATTTTTATTTTCTGTTTACTTTTCAAAAATGAACACAGAAATTGGTTTTTAGATTTCTCACAGCTCCATATTAGTGTAACTAGCTTACACGTAGAAATTACAAAAAAGTTAGGACTCTTTGAAAATTCTCACTTTTTCAGTCTGTGGTAAATGCAATGAGTTTCTTCAACGTTTCTACATTAAACACAATATTTAAATTTTTTTTCTTGAGTTGTAAAATTAATTATTTTTTATTTAATTTTCATTTTATTTTCCATTTCAATCAGCTTAACACTCTGCACCTTATTTTCGTGGCTCTGTTTACACTTTCACATCACAATAATTCCTTTCATTTTCACTTTCCAACACTTTTTACCTTTATTAACACAAATTTCCGTAATCCATACGCGTGGTCTCAGCTACGCTTGCGCGTATTCCATTCACAACACGTGTATTCGCCATAAACGACTGTGAAAAACTATTACCGTAAGCACACCGTTATCGACTGAATGTCATTCCATTATATTCACAAAATTTTAAATAACCATTTTCTTAGCGAAATTTTCACCACAACAATGCGTTAGACGCTCTTTCACTCAACGTACAACCTTTGAGTGGGTGACTGAGTGTGTTGATGAGTGAGAGAGAGCGTGAGAGAAAGTAAAGTATTCTTGAGTGGCAACAAGTTCATTCGCAATCACAAAAAACAGTATTAAAAGAAAAAAGAAAACAAAATCAACAAGCACACATACGCAACACTTCGTTGATTGTTCTAGTCGAGTGTAAGGATTCTTTTTGTATTGTTTACTTTTCCACACATATATACACGTGTAAGTACAGTTTTGTGTGCGTGTGTGTATGTGTGGAAGTTTTTCTGTCTAGCATTGCTCATACACTGATTGACGTTATTTAATATCACTAAACGTACCAAGCGAGGTCGATGACCCCTTTTGAAAATTGACTTTAAATTCGTACACAAATTTTTAACTTTTTATTTTTTATTTATTTATTAATGTTATTTAATTTATTTATTTTTTTATTTAATTATTTATTTATTAATTTATTTATTTAGATATTTATTTATTTTTATTTGCCATTTATTTATTTTTTTATTTATTTATTTATTAATAAATTAATTAATTTTTTTAATCATGTATTTATTTATTTATTTATTTAATTATTCATTTCCTAATTAATTAATTTTTATTTGTTAATTTATTTATTTATTTATTTAATTATTTAATAAATAATTAATTAATTTTTATTTGTTAATTTATTTATTTATTTATTTATTTATTTATTTAATTATTTATTTCTTTATTTATTTATTAATTGATTTAATTATTTCTTTATTTATTAATTTATTTATATGTTTATTTATTTTATTTATTATTATTTTTTATTTAATTATTTCTTTTTTTTATTTATTTATTTTTTTATTATTTATTTACTTATTTTTATTAATAAATTAAATAATCAATTTATTATTTTTTATTTATTTACTCATTTTTATTAATTAGTTTATTTTTATTTGTATTTTTTTATTTATTTATTCATTTATTAATTTTATTTATTTATTTAATTGTTTATATGTTTTTTTATTTAATTTTTTTAATTATATATTTATTTATTTACATATTTATTTCTTTTATTCGTTTATTTTATTTTTTATTTATTTCTTTTATTTATTAATTCATTTATTTATTTATTCATTTAATTTTTTATTTATTAATTTTTAATTTAATTTTAATTTTTTTTTAAATTTTTTGTTATTTATTTGTTTATTTATTTAATATTATTTTTTATTTATTATTGTTTCTATTTATCTACTTATTTATTTAGTTTTTTTTCTATCGATCATTTGACTTTCGGTAAATTCTTATATCATCCGATTATTCCTTTTCCTACCTTCAGTTTTTCTCGCAACTAATTTTTTACTGGAAATTTTTTTTACATATCTTACGTACCATGAAGGGTCATTCGACCCTGTAGGGCTTATGAATTGTATAGCAGTTTCTAACCTCAGTTCTAAATTCAGATACGCTTCTCAAGTGACACTTCCAAGCAGATGCAATGCACGACAGTTTTATTTACACTTTTATAATTTCTTTTCCATTCAATTCGATTTGTCTGCACGGTCCAGTGAGAGAGTTGGAAAGAATTCGACAATCAAGTGAAGTGAATTCAGGTGAAGAAGATCCATTCCTGAAGATAAACAAGGCGAAAGTCAAAGTTATTTTCGAAACAATGAGGAAACTCAGAGCATTTCTTGAATCTCCCTTGAGGACAGAGATGCCAAAGATTTTCATCGCATTCTGAAAATGATAGTGAACTTAAGTGGCTTTTAAAAATTTTGTAAAAAAATTTGTTTGCTGAAAATGAGAAACACGTCCAGAGTGAAAAATGAAATTCGTCGAATATTTTTTTTATACCAATGAAAATAGGTGTTGAATTTTATACGAAATAAGAAATGATGTTGCAACTTATATCCTTTAAGAAATAAATAATTTATTTACGAAAAAATATATTTTTATTGCCTAAAGGTTCAACTGACACCCTCTGATAAGATTAGGTATGGAAAAATGCCGGTACGTTTAGTGTTGTAAGCCACCTAACCTTATCATTGCCATAAAGAGACACTACCAACAAAAAAAAAATCAAATACTAAGCACACATTCACCCACAACAACTCATGCTTTATACCATGCTCACTAATAACATACACACATATACATACTCGTATAGGTATGCGCACACGTGTGTGTGCGTATATGTGTTTGAGTAAAATTTAATATCAAACCGTTTTTGGCGCGCAAAATTTATTCGTGCTCACACACACACATACTCACACATTTGCACTTTGTCTTTGGCTTCGGCTGGTGTCATTACACGCCTTGTTGTTGTAAATAATTCATTAACATATCATTTATTACATTACATTTGTAGCTTGCTTTTTTTCGTCTTTTTACTTAAACGCACTCCCACAAACATGCACGTAATTTTATTTGCACGACTACGTGACATACATACACACACACACACATATATACATGCAAAGTATATATAATTTCATAGCTCGCGGCAGTACATGACACATAGTAACTCATTACAGCGAGTTAATTTATGTCACAAAGCGCAGACTAACACAAAGGCAACATAATGACAACAAAGGCGAATGGGATACCACAAAAAAATAGCAAAATTTCCGCCAGTAATGTCATTAAACTTGTTTTTATTTTTTATTTTTTATTTTTTTGAACATTTTACATTTACTACGAAGGGTGGCCAAAATGTTGAGGATAATGTCTCGGTATCGAAATAAGTAAGGTTCGGTGGGCTTGAGTTGGCTGAACCTAAGAAGGTCCTTCATGTCCTGCATGCATATAAAGCCATGCTTCAGCAAATTAAATCTGCATATGCGCAGAGTTTATTCCAGATGGATTCGAAAACAGTTATGTGATGAAATCTTTAGTTTCCAGTAACGCTAACGCTTGAGAACGGCTGGATAAATATCGATGAAATAAATATCCAGAGGTTGTTTTTTTGAGAAAAAGTCGGAAAATTAGAATAATCCTCGAAGTGAATTTTTCCATAAAAATTAAAATTTTTGGTTTTTAAATATTTTTTTATTATTTTTATTTTATTTTTTTATTTATTTTGATTTATTTATTCGAACAGTTTTCGTTTCCTAGATGATTTTTCAGGTCAAAGTTTTGCTGAACTGGTTTTTGGTTTTTAGTTTTAAGGAATTGTCTCAGGCCATATATTTTTTGGAAAAAGTGAAAAAATTACAACAACAGGTTTGAACGTTTCCTTTGGAATTTATTCATGTTATTTCTTCAGCTGATTTGTAAATTATTTTAATCTTTATTTTGGCTATTCAAATCAATTACGATGACAATCAATAGGTCACAATTACAGTCGCTGAAGTTGTGCCCTGTTTTTTATGTGGACTTCTGATTTTCATCACAGATATACATTCGGAGGGCTAGACATACTCTGTTGGTCTGGCGACCACAATTAGAAAAATTAATTTTCTTTTCGAACTCTAGTCTTCCGAATGCCAAAACCCAAAGCCGAGTACCCAGCAATCGCTTACACCTCTGAATGAATAGCAATCGGATAATGCCCAGTCGGAATTCACTACAGGTACAATAGTATTAGAGTTTTGACCTTCAAATGGAAAAATTGTTTTCCGACCATCTGTAAACTATCTCGCAAGCGCACACTAAACTGGTTCAAGCCGTATCCAGCTGAGGTGCATATACTTTTGCTTTTTTCGATAACAAAAGAGCGATGGTTCCCATACTGACGAGCTCATCACCATTGTAAATCCTTCTGAGATTCATTATGCAGCAATATTCATTTAATTTTGAAGTAAATCGACGAAAATATCATAATGCACACCACAAATCGGAGAAAAAGGTCGACCGAAAATCGCTCCAGCGAATACAAGGCGCCAAATTGAAATCGGCGAGTGCTCCCATCACAATAACAACCATTGCCGATCGCGCAGTGCAGCGTTTGTCTGTTTCGCAACATCGCGGCTGATGGCAAGTAGCACTGTGTGGAGCGACACCTACAGTTGAAGAGGAAAGTAAGACAAATTTGCAAACAGAAAAAGTATGAAACGTAGGAAAGCTTTATAAACTGTCCAACAGGGGCATAACTGTAAAATTCTATGAAAAAATACGTCTTACAGAAGATCTCGATTCGAACCCACAGAGCAGATTTTCTTACTGATGCCCATAATAGACTTAGTTTATGGCAAGCGTGAAAGACTAAAACCAAGGGTCAACATACAGACTGCAACAGTGAAACTTCAGATCGCAAAACATAAACCGCTATGTGTAAGACCGATGAGCAACGTCAAAAGCTCTGATACTGAGCGAGGCATTGAAAATATGCAAAGCAGTAACCATCCGTGACAGCAGAAGAAGAACTCCATCATTTTAGAAAGGTTAGGTGGAAAAGCACTATTTTTCTCATTAGCGTCTATAATTGGATCCACACAGCGAAAAGCAGAACTTAAAGCCAAGTATATTGAAGATAAGCATTCATTGGAAGCTTGCCAGCTACCTTGATGTATTACTAAAAGTTGACTTAACCTGACGAAAAGGATCGTCCGCTGATCGAGCACAGCGCTTCTTTAATATCAGCAAATCCCCAGCAGAAATTTAGAGATACTCTTTGTTTTATTTATTATAGGGCACAGATTGTCATTATAAACAGAGCATATTCGTCAATGAAGAACGATAAATTTATATTTAGGATTGAACCAAACAGAGACACAAAGAG